CCGGCACCGCGGGGCCGCCGCGGCTGCTCCTTTAAGAGGGGGCCGGGCTAGCGGTGACCCCGCGCGATGTCCGCCCCTTCCTGGTTACCATGGAGACCGCCCGCCAGCGTCCCAAAATGGCGGCGGCGGAGCCGCGCGGGGCTGCCGCTCTCTCCGCCGCCCAGGAAGGAAGGAGGGCAGACCAGCAGCCTGAGGCGGCAGCGCCCTTAGCGAGGGCTTGTCCTTGGGGAAGGAGCCCCTCCGCGCCGGGGCAGGACGAGGGGCTCCGTTAACGCCGCCAGGAAGCGGCCCGGGAGGAGCCACCAGTAAGTGCCGCTGGCCTGGTCTCCTGAGGGCTGGGGAACGCCTGGCTGCGTGAGGGCTGGCCACCAAAATGGGTATTTCCAGGCATGGGCGAAAGTTCGTCTAGACGAGGAGCCTCAATATGTGGGAGATTCCTTCTACGTGGACTTTCCTGAGCCTGTGAGATGGGGCTCTGGGTGAGGAACCAGAGGAAAGGAGGAAATAGAAATGTTTCAAAATGGTGAGTTAGTAGCCTTGCGAAGTAGTATATACACAACGTGATTTTGTACCCATAAAACAGACATAAGTCTACTCTCAGAAATTACATAACTCTAGTCTCAGAAAATGCCTCATAAATAAATGTGATGCAAAATTTAATGCAAATAAATAACAAATCCTTAAGTATTCCTTCTAAAGAAAAATAAATTTAGCTGCCCTTTCGGGGTAATCAGACTTAAGGCAGAGGGGTAAGCAATAATCTAACATGTCATTCCAAGAACATAAAATTAACATCTGGGAATGGGAAGGCTGTATATATTTTCCACATTGTACCTGAAGATGTTTGGTGTCCTGCCATTCACCAGTGTATATAACTGGTTTTTCTAACACAGAAATACTACATATATAATGCTAAATATCCTGGAAGAGTTTTTTTAACCTTTGCTTTAAAAAATCCCACAAAATGTGTGATATGAGTATTTTTTAGAGTAATCTAGTAGAATCATCAATGAGAAATGTTGGACAGTAAACAAGCAAAATTTAACAAATATGATTATGAGTTGATAAGATTATGAAATAAAAATGAAAATATACTATAATCTCTGTTTCATTTTTACCCATTTTTTACTTAGTTTACTTACTTTATTAGTGACAAATACAAATGCTTGTCTCAAGCTGGACATACTGATTTAGAAGATGAAAAGTTTGAGAAACCTTTCTGAGAAAGTTTTTTAAATGTCTCGCCAGAAAAAAAAAAAAAACCACAACATTTTTAAACTAGAAGGAAGTTTTCAGTTTGTGTTCATAAAGTAAGCCAAAATAATGAACATATGTTCTTTCAGGGAAGAACTGCTGCACAATAACGGGGAAATGTGCTTTTGAGTAGCTGAAGTCTTGTAGTGGGTCTGTCCCACTGACCCCTAGGAATCCTACCAGTGCCCTGCTTGTCTGTGGAATGTGACTGAGTGTTGTGGGGTCTTTGCTATTCATTGTCACACTCAGATAATAAAAATAAGATGGTTGTTATTATTATTATTATTTCTGTCTTCAGGTTTTTGGATCTCATGTCTGTTTCCTGTCACACACTTCAGGTATCTATTCTTGAGTTTGTTTTCAGCTGCCCAAATATATCCTGAAAACAAACCAAAGTCAGTTAACATAAACCATGCAAAAAAAGCTTCGTAACCGTCACTGTAAGTTCAAAATGTTCTGCAAATGTTCATTGTACAAAGCATTACCAGGAACCTGATGTCATTAAAAATCATTTGGTTAGAGTGTTTGAAAAATTCAGCTGTGATTTTATGGCAATAAGATCATTTGAGTATTGTGCACTATGTGGATGTATGTATTTGAATATATCACTGTATTTTCTGAAGCTAATGTATCTGATTCCAGCAAAATTTCCCAATTCACTCAAATTTTAATTCTTTACTCCTCAAAACACCCTCACATAAGTAGTCTCCAGTTTTAACTTCTGTATATGTAAAATTTCTATATGCTAGTTAACCTTTCTACAGGCTGTAGAATCTCCTGAGAAGAGACCTGTCAAAAATAGCAGTAGAAGGTATATGCATCACTGATGTTCCAAATTGTGTCTCACATAAAATATATTTAGCCATCCTGGGTTAGCATGGAGCAGGCCTCATTGTTGGTTCACATTCCCAGTGTGCTATTTTGCAGTCTCCTAATAAATAACAGTCTTTGCCTGAAAGGCCTCACAGTCTAAGCCTCCAACCTGGCACAGGGTTACATGAATGCTGAAACCTGCTCCTTTTAGAATAGCCCCTTTCTTGGAAGTGAGTGATTTCAGAACTGTCTGTTGTTTTTCTTTAAAAGCAAAAAGGGGGGTTTGTGGCTGCATAGTGGATTTATATGAAAGCTCCCATAATTCTGTCCAATGTTGCCTTTCTTTGAATGGTCTACTTGGAATTTACACAAGCAGTAAATTCAGCTCCTTCAAGATGAAGTTATCAATTTACTGGGCACGTGTTATAAAGGTCCAAGGCTTGTGTACCTGTGGTCATGGCCAGGATTTCCAGATATGAGCTGACTATAAAGTCAAACTGTCACAGAACCATAACCCTGTACAAATACAGAAGATCTTGAGAATATGTTAGGGCAAGAAACTTAGTTGCATAAATGAGCATTCACAGAATACATTGTGAATGGATTGTGTGGAAGAAGAGATCTTCCAAGCCATCAGTGAAAATATTTTTTTTCAAGTAGTTATTTTAAGTCAGCAATCATAATTTTACAAATGCACAGAAACTCTTCCACATACTTCCCCTGTGTGGGCCTCTGCCAGTTCCACTGCAGAAATATAAGACTGAAACAGACAACTTCAGGTCATCCAGTCCCAGTGCCTGCTGTTTCATCCAGCTGCATAATAGATCTTCATAGCATAAATGGGATTTGATGTGTTTCAAAGGTAGTGAAGATTTTCTTCCTCTGCTGCTTCACACAGAACTGCTCCAGATCATCACTTCTCTGATGGTTAGAAGTATAGTTATGCAGATTAATTTACATTTATTTTGTTTTGATATCTTGTGTGTAGGTAACAATGTTCTGTATATATGTGTGTATATATATATTTATGATATATTGGATATATTTAATAAATATGCACTCTGCATAGGGTTTGTTTTGTTTTTTCAGACTCCGCTTGTGAAACAGGCTCACTGCTTCTTGGTCACTCTCATCTTTTCATTGCACTTATTCCCATTAATACTTTCATTCTTAATAAGCCTAACAAGTACCATGTGCAAAAGCATTGTTCCTTCCTTATGTCTTCTGGAAAATCCTGGGTGATGTAAATTTTAGGACTGTGTTTAAGCTTCTCTACCAAAATCACACTGATGACTCTTGATCATCTTTTGATTAGTTATTATTCCAATGTCCTTCTCCTCTGTCAACTTTCAATTTATAACCTTTTGGTTTATGGCAGAAATTATTTCCCCATGAATGACTTTACCATTTGTACCTTTCAATTTTGTTTTTTATTTTATTTTATTTTTTATTTGTTTTCTTTTTTCTCTCTGGAACTGCTCTGAGTTGTTATGAAGGAGAAGTTGGTGTACGTGTCAGAATAAACATAATAAATAAAAAACAATGCTTGGCCATAAAATGTGTTCTATGAATCCTGCCAGTATTCATGGGAATGGTGAATAGTTTTCATTTTATTTGAGTGCATGTACTATTACACAGAACAGGAATCTTTTTGTTCAAGACTGACATGAGGGATTGCAATTTGTTTCATGTGTACCTTTTACTATACATGTTTTTAAATCTTGAAATGTAAAATTAATATTTGATATGTCAGTTATAATTTGGCAAGGTTTATCACAAAAAACAATAGATGTTATCTGTGTGTACAAGGCAAGCGATGGCTTTAAGCTGAAACCCTGTGGCTTTCAACATTAAATGTAAGATGGCTTGAGAGAGCCACACAAATAACCTTTCAAAACATCTCTTATAAATTGTCTAACAGATGATAAGTACAGGTTTTGAAAAGTGCAAGAGAGGAATCCAGATGGTGGGGTAGTGTAGGAAAGATCAGTCACTCATTTTGGTCAAACAAGGAATATGGACACACATCCCCCACCCTCAAAAAAAAAGTCTGGTGCTTAATCTGCTTATAGGGCAGGCTGATAACTGGAGTGATGAGGCTGGTAACAAAAGAAATGTAATGGGAAAATGATTCGCTCAACGTGTAATTAATACTAGCATCTGTCACCATTTAATGAATGCTACACTAATCAGAAGATTTTGTCATGTTAGTAAAATGTTCAGCTACTTACCCACAAAAAAGACTGGCATGGTACATTCACAAGGCTGCCATGGTTCTGTGCAGTATTCCACACATGATCTGCTCACAGAACAGCCAGGATAACTGAACTCTGTCAAATATGCAACTGCAGAATTGTGTGTTTGGCCAGAGATCAGCAACTTGGTTCTCTAAAAGATGTACACAGGACATGTAGGTGAGCAAACAGTGTAAGTAACCGGGCAAACAGTTCTGATGAATGTTCTTGTTCTTTACCCCTCATTGCTCCTATTGTTTAGTGTTCGCCTCTACGTCTTCAATCAGTTTCTGATTAAATCAATACATTCTAAGCACAGCCCATTATTTTGGATACTGAGTACTACAGTATTTTCTTAAAAGATCGTATAATTAGTTGTTTCAATTTTAAAAATACAGGGTTTTTTAGTTGTAATTCTGGCTTTTTTAGTTGTAAGTAAAAATTCTGAACCTGCGGCACTTAAAGATTTAAGAACCTTTTTCTTTTAAAAATCCTTTTTCAATAAACAGCCTAATTCTGTAACTCATCTCTTTAAGTCCTGCACTACAAAAACCCAAACGAAAAACCACCACTACACCACTAACCCGAACAAAAATTAAAGAAAACAAAACAAAATACCCTAACAACTTCTCATTTTCAATAGAATTTCCATTTTACTAGACATTAATAAATGATCCTTGTAATGGGGGGGATTGGCTGATTTTTAGTTGCGAGAATCTTAATGATTTATTAAACCTGCAAGAATAACTCCTCCATTTGGAAAAAAAGTACTCTACAGTTAACTGTTAGTTATATCTTGGGCTTGTTTCTAAGTCTTTATGATGACATTTGATATGTAACCTATTTGACTGACAGCAGATGCCATTTGAAGTGCTTAAACCAGATGGAAGGGGGGGATGGAAATTAACAGATGTTCTAATAGTAATTGAGCTGAAATTAATTTCATGTTACACAAAACAATTTTTGGAAAGATAAGTCTTATTTTAAGTACAAAACTGTGGGAGATCTACCTTTTTCAAAATTCTACTATTTTATTTGCATTTGAAGCCTGAGGGATGCCATGCCAGTTACTACCTAGCCAGATTCTATCCCAGTCTCTTTGACTTTTCAAACAGAGATTTGTGTTCTTAGCAAACAAAAGGAGCACAGAAATTTCTCAAGAGGGAGGTTAAAAAAAAAAAAAATTATGAGCTGTTTATATGGAGGACTCCAACTACATAAAATAGGAACTTGTTGTTGTTGTTGTTGTAAAGTAGAAATATTTCAAGTATTGTTTGTTGAGGCCAGGAGAAGGCAGCCATTTTGTCCCAGCTCAGGAAATGCTCTGCTATGCTGAAACGGTCTATTTCCAAAAGACTCCAACATTTTTTGTGGTCATGGCATCGCCAAATATTAAGCAGTTATTATCAAGAGAATGTTTGTTAAGCCAAAAATACATAGGGAAATCACCTTTGGATTTTTCTGTCTCTAATTCAGACGTCAAAGTACACAGTAAAGCTGTTTGGAAAATGGAGATAGTTTCTCTGGAGAAATAATGCTGCACTGGAAAAACATGAATATTGTTGTCAGGTGTTTCTGTCCAAAGCTAAAATAAGTTTATTTAGCAGTGTTGTGATGTGTTATGGCTTGGATGCCTGATGGGACCCCTCACTTATTCTATTATATGCCGCTTCTGGGTGTATGCTGTTGCTAGGTCTTATCCATAAGGTTTTGGGGAAGACTTAGGAATTCTTTGGTCATGCTGCAATATTGAAGATGTATTACAGCACAAGAACTAACATAAGAAAATTTGGGCTTTTAACAATCAAAATGCAATTTGTGATGTGTTTGTGATGTGATATCAATGCTGGAATTTCAGGGCTTTTGTTATTGGTGAAGCAAGATTTCCCTACAGAAGGAATTACATATAGCAATGTAAGTGGTGGGTTTTTACCTTCCCAGAAGATTCAGTTCTCTTTTTTGGAGGGTGGTTGTTTTGGCTTTTTTTTCCCCACAAACATTATCAAATGTTTAACCCTGTGAAACATTCATTTATTGATTTTGAAATTAGATATTTTACTGATATGGAGTGATTATTACTCATGAAGTTGTGTTCTTAGCCTATGAAAATCCAGTGCTGTTGTGTGGGCTTATAAAATTCTTTTTCAGTAGTGGTTGAGCTGTTATTGAAGATGCATTGGGATATTCTTATGGCAGTTTCAATTAAGGTGTCTTAAAGATACTAAAGTAATCTTAGTTAATTCACTGTTAATCTGGTTTTACTATATCACTGAGAGCCTAGAGATGTAATTTTTTTACTTTTGTCTCAGCTGGGTTTTGTCTACTTATAATTAGTCTTTAATATACAGACAGCAGGATCTCACAGAATTGCAATGTTAAAGGTCACATTTTAAGTTTTATGCATGGTTTTAATATTTGTGGCTTTCTTTAAAAGTGTTGTACTTGATCTAGTCCTACCTGACAAGGATGATTTTCAGGTTGTGAAGGTGTAATAGTTTCTCAAGGTAAACAATCACAATTTCTTTCTGCTTAATAATGTAAACATTTCTTGCTGTAACCAAGTCATGTTCATATG